TCTTGCTAACATAAAAGATAGGCAGGTGTCGGATTCCTTCTGCTCTAACCAACACTGCGCTAACTGCATGCTGTGAAACTGCTAAGTACAAAAAGAGTTCTTCTCCAAGTACTGGGGTTACTAGCAATGAAGGAGAAGTCATGTAGTCTTTCAGGCTCTCTAGGGCGCGATCGCATTCTTCATCCCAGTCAAATTTGGCCTTCAATACTTGGAAGAATGGTCGACATCTGTCTGATGACCGACTTATGAACTGGTTGAGTGCGGCAGCTAGGCCAGTGAGATGCTGCACCTCTTTTACTGTGTTGGGCCTCTCTAGACCTTGGATTGCTTTGATCTGAGAGGGGTCTGCTTCTATACCTTGGTTGGTCACCAGAAAGCCTAGGAATTTGCATGATCCTACGCCGAACGCACACGTAGATGTATTTAGACGCAACTTGTTCTTTTTTAGTATTTGGAACATTTCGTCTAGGTCCCTGAGATGGTCTTTCTCATCCTTGCTTTTGACCACCATGTTATCTATGTAAGCCTCCATTGTTTTGCTTAAAAATGGTTCAAATATTTTAGTGACTATCCGTTGGAATGTGGCCCTTGCATTTTTTAGGCCAAAGGGTATGACCTTATAACAATACAATCCTCTAGGTGTTGTAAAAGATGTGACCTCCTGGTCTGGCTTATACATAGCGATTTGATGGTAACCTCTATACACATCAAGGAAGCTAAGTCGATTGTGCCCTACCGTCAAGTTTACCAGTTGGTCTATCCTGGGTAAGGGAAAGCTATCATTTGGGCATGTCTTGTTGACTGTTTTGTAGTCCATGCAAACACGCCATTTTCCATTCTTCTTTGGTACTACTACAGTATTGGATATCCACCTGGGATAGTGCACTTTTCTGATGGCTCCTGCCTCCAACAAGTTTCCCACTTCATCCGCCACTATCTCCTCGTGGTGGAGTGCTGATCTGCGAGTACACTGTATAATTGGTCTAGCAGTCGGGTGGACATTCAGTTGGTGACAGATGAAGTTTGGGTCAATGCCAGGCATGTCGTATGGTGTCCATGCAAACACTTCGATATTAGAGGTTAAAAATTCTATGATCTCTATTCTCTCAGTGCTGGACAAAGACGAGCCGAGCAAAGCAAAAAGAACATTTCTGGGTTCTTTTTATCTATCCTTACCTTTACCAAGTCTTCCACTGCCTTCTGTTCTGCTGCCTTGCCAACATCCGCAAATAGTTCATTGCTCCCTGGCTCTTCTACCATCTGTACATATCTTTTTGCAGCTCGGCTGCTATTTACTGTGATAAAGCACTATTTTGACATGATTTGGCCTCCCAAGACCTCTTCAATTACTCCGACTTCGTTGGGGAACCGCAATACTTGCTGGTAGGTTGATGCTACCGATCGCATGGTGTGCAGCCATGTTCTCCCAAGGATTATGTTGTAAGTGGAAGAGACCTTCAATACCCAGAATTCCACTTGTTTAGTCATGGTCCCAGCTTTGACTAGGAGAATTATCTTGCCTACTGGCCATTCTGGCATTGAGTTAAAGCCAACTAGGGGGGATGTTGCAGGGGCCAAGTCTTTGTCCTCTAGTTTTAGCTGTTTGAAGGTTTCATAATACATTATCTCGTAAGAACTTCCTTGGTCAATCAGGATTCGATTGATGTCGAAGTTCTTGACGTGCAAAGTTACCACCAGTGCGTCGTTGTGTGGGCAATGTAGCCTTGCTAGGTCCTTGTCTGAGAAGGATATGACGTTCGTAGCCTCTGTTTTGCCCTTTTTGATGGCGGGTTGTGCACTTAGTACCTCTTTCAGGTGCTCTGCCTTCTTTATTATCCTCCTGAGTTCATATACCCACTCAGGTTCAATGATCCCATGGATAACATTGATTACGCCTTGGGGCGATTCGTCCATCGGCATCCTGTTTGGTCTGTTGAAGTCCTGGGGGCTGGCTATGTTCCCCCTTCAATATACTGGTCTAGGTGACCAGCAGCTACTAATTCTTCCAGATGTTGCCTCAGGGGTGTGCAATTTTCAGTTAGGTACCCCTTCTCATCATGGAAGGTGCAGCGGGACCTCTCGTCGTAGCCCCTTTGTGTTACTCCCAACTTGGCTGGCCGCCGAACGAAGGGTTCATTTTTTATCTCACTGAGAATTCGGTGGATAGGCTTATTGAACACGGTGGTGATGGCAGTGCGAACCCTTAATCTCCTTTTTTCTGGGTCCTCCCTATTGGCTTGCCTGCCTCGCCCATTCCTACTTGGTTGTTTTACTGTGTTGATTTTTGCTGCAATCTTTTTGTCTAGCATTACTGTTGAGCCAGATTTTGCTTTAGCTCGGGCACTATTTTCCTTCACGCGGATATGTTGGTGCACCCTCTGCATTAGGGCCTTCATCGTGAGGGGTGACATCATAATAATTGAGTCCCTCAACTTGTTTCCGACTGGTAGACCCCTTTTGTATTGCGCGATGGCGAGATTCGTGGGGCAATCTTCGATTTGGTTGAAAGTCTCCCAATATCGACTGTTGTAGGATCTCAACGTCTCCTTGTCGCCCATGTCAATGGAGAGTAGCTGATCGATCTCCACTGGTGTCTTGGTGTTTGTTCTGAACCTAGTCACGAACGTCTCTGCCAATTGTGCCCAGGAGGTGATGCTGCCTTCTGGTAGCCCTTTGAACTAAGTTAGACCTAGGTTGCCAAGGCTGGATGGGACACATCAGGGCCTCATTCTGCCGGTACACTGCCATAACCTGACGAAATTGGCGAAAGTGCATGTAGGGGTCTGTCTTCCCCTCATAGGTGGTGAATTTGGGCTGGTGGAAGCCCGAAAGTAGTGGTGCGTTCTCTATTGCCGGAACGAACGGCGAGCTCTGTAACCTTGCTAACACTTTGTCCGTTGGTTCGTAAGCAAGGTAAGGTATTGGCATCCCTACCTTGACACTCTCGTGTGTCCTAGGAGCCAATCGCTGTAATGTTGATACTCTGTGAGGGTCGCGAGCCTTGGTGTCTTCCTTCCATCGAGCCCTCTCTTCGAGTACCGTCCGTAAGTCCGCTGACCTAGGCAACTCCTTGTGCCTGGATGTCGTCTGGTGCTTGTGTGAGGGGTAATAGTTGCTTCTCTCTGTATAAGACCTTTCAGTCCTCGTTCTCTCAGACCTGGAGTGACGAGTCTTGGAAGTCCTGGATTGAGTGTCACATGTTCTAAGGCTCTTGCTTTGTGCTTGCGATGGGATGACCTGCCTGTCACGATCCTCTGAGTGGGGAGAGGGCATGTTGCCTTTGCGCCCCTCTCTTGTCGCCACCCTTTTTCCTTTTATCTGGCGCTTTATTGACTCCATGTCTGCTGCCATCCTCTTTATTAACTCGTCTTGTTCCCTAATGCGATCCTCCAGTACCTAGGGGTCCAACCTCCGCCTCTGTCTTTCAGGACTTTGAGAGCGACGGGGGCTGCTGCCCCGTCTCCCCCTTGCATCTCTCCGGGGGGTTCTGTCGCTAAGGTTCTAAATCCGCCTTGGGAAGGATAGAAGGCAAACCTTCGTGTCTCCCACCCCCCTCCGGGGTTTGTCCGTCGATAATAGATTGCGGCAAATCTTCATTGTGCGCCATGGGTTTCGATTGGAGAGAAAAACTTGATCAAAAGGTTTTGTTCTTTCTGTATTTCCCACAGACGGTGCCAATTGTACGAGCACAGAATAATCTTATCGTGTAATCCTGTTGATCAAGTTTGAGTTCCTCCAAACGTTGTCGCTTTACTTCCTGAAAACACAAACGTGAGCTAGCCGGTGGGTGTGTGTCGGATACCTCTCTGATGCTTAAGTTAGCAAAATAGACAAATAGATAAAAGTTTTGTGTATTCGAGAATCAAAGTTGTGATACCTGTACGTAGGTTCTGTCATAAGCTTTTATAGTTTTTGCCTAGCACAATCCTGGTAGGACTCTTATTCCAAAGGCCTCCTAAGAATCACACACCCTACTCACTACAAACCAAGTGAGATGGTTTACACAATCTCAGTAGGACTCTACTTTCCTTAGCAAAATACTTCTAGGAGTCTTATCACTGCAAGCCAAGTGAGATGACTACCACGGTTGAATAACAATATAACCGTGCTAACACTAGCCCCTTTGTCATACTTAAATCTGGTGCCTTCATATGCAACACCTAGCTCGACCCTTATTCTCTTGTACCCCAGTTGTCTGTTCAAACCGAGCTAACTGCTGCAGTCTCTGATCGAGCTAACAAGGACGAGGTCCAACTTGCGAAGCCCAAACACCCCGATCCATAGCTTGGTCCGAACTGCACCTGGCCCAACTTCGTTAGTCTTTAGACCGAGCTACAGCAGCTCTTATCTCGATCCGACGTGTGGTCTAACTTCCAAAGAAGCCTTTAGCTCGATCCAATTTATTTATAAATTACCCTCTCAGATTTGACTACCAAAGACAAGAGAGTTGGCATGCTTGTATATTTTAATTACTTGGGTTGTGTTTGATTATTTCAAAAAACACATATGAATTGAAAAATGTAGAACGATTCTTTACCTTATATATATAGATTAGAAGTGTTTGGTTGAAAAATAAAAAAACTCAAAATTGAAATTGAAATTTAAAAAAATGATAATAATTGTATAAATATTTTAGCTCCATTTGTATTATAGCTACAATCCAATCCAACTAAGCGTTTTAAGTTAGTGCGATCGATTTTTAAAAGAAAATTTGATTTGATTATATATATATATATATCATATAATTAATCATTTATTACGATACCCTTTACTAACATTTTATTTTAAAATCAATATTTATAATAAAAAAATAAATTAAGGTAGAATTATGGTTTTGCAATCCAATCTAATTTTAACTAATTTGTATTGGGTTGGTTTGATTTCAATGGATGACCCGTTTGATTTTGGGTTTAAAATTTTGAACCCATCAAAATGGATCTAGATCCGGGTTTGAACCAACTCGGATCGGATATATACATACATAGATATATATCATCATCACTGCACATACACTCGGAGAGAGAGAGAGAGAGAGATGGGGGGAGTTGGGGCGTTTTGGGGGACAAGAGTGATGGAGATAGTGAAGAAGCATGACTCGGGAGGACTTGTATGGAAGAGAATAAAGCTCACAACCACCAGAAAAGCTAACGCTAAGAAGAGACTTCTTAGGGTTTGGCAGGTCTCTCTCTTTCTCTGTTCCTCCCACTCCTTTTCCTATTTTGTACTGATTTTTGAAGAATAATTTTGGGTTTTGCTTCAAAAATATATATATTTTTTGCTATTTTGTGAATTATTTTTTGTTAATGAAAGTTGGAATTATTGAAGAACTGGGAGTGTTTAGACTTGTTTATGAATGTAATGCGCTTGTTTTGTTAAATTATTAGTCTCTTTTTTGTTTTGATGGAAGCATGGTTCAGGATCCAAACTATTGTCTATGATAGATTGACAATTTATTTCTTGAAATCAGTCAGTTTATGGTTTTTTCTTCAATTATATGTTTGGACAAATAGCCCTAAAAACTGCAATTTACTTTAAATTTGTTGCTTTTCTGTGATTATTTTTATTGTATGTCAAAATATGTAGAGCCTCAAGGAAAATGGTATGTTGGTAGAAATGAAATGGGGAAAGCAGTGTCAAAAAAGTGGTTATCTTGGGGCCTTTATATTCTTACCTCCTGCACCATTTGAAGGGTTTAAATTATTTTATTATTGAATACTTGTAGAGCCCCAAAAAATTTCACTTAATTTGCTTATTAGGTCTCAAGCACTTAAGCTGCAGTTAAGGAGAATTCACTATTCTGGTGGCTGATATATATCAATGTTGTTGCCTATAATATTATTATAAACTTCTTTCGTCAAATCCGTTAGGCATTTTTTGGATCATGATTTTGTAGAGGATTTGTGAAGGAAAAGGAAAAGGGAAGGGAAAAGTGAATGAAATTCCTTTCCCTGTTGTGCAAATCCCTGCACGAATCCAAAACCCAAACACAACATTAATGTCTACATAAATATTTGGTTGGGAATTGTCACATGCTTGTATAAACCATTTGAATTCTAGAAGCATTTTGGTTAATGGTATCACAATTACAGTCATGCGGTCATGTTTGGAATCATTCTAGTGAGAACCTTGTTCCTGTTGTTTTGAGGAGATGCATTATTCAATGGTATATTATACTTGTGCAGCATATGTTCCACAATCAAAGAAACAAACAAATGATTTATGATAATATAATTGCAAAATTATTGTGATGAAAGTAGTTGTTTTTGTTTGTATAACATTTATCCGTACTGCTTAAAATAAATAAATAAAAACATATGTTGCTTGGAAAGTATTTATAGCTCTTTGACTCCTATATAATTTTTCTGTTTTGGAACTCCCTGAATGCCATACCTTGCTGAAGGCGATTCCCGAGAGAATCTCGCACAGTTCCTTTTGACCAAGATGTGAATGCCCATGACCAAGGTTTTAAAAAGCGGCCGCAACCGTTACGTAACTACGTAACGGTTTTGGCGGTTACCGCCACCCGTTACGGCCGCTTTTGCAGTGTGATTGAGATTCGCAGGTGTGTCAGCCGTAGCGGCTGTCGTAGCGGTCGTAACGGCACCGTAACAGCCGTAACGGCTTGTTATGCACCGTTATGTAACGGTTCCAAACTGTTTTTTTCGAAAAAATACACAAAAAAAAAGCTGAAAATGGGGGAAGAGGGATAGAGAGAAGAGGGAAGATAAAGAGAGAAAATGGAGGAGTAAGAGATAGAGAGAGAAAAGAGGGAAGATGAAGAATATGTTATTGATTTATTAAAGCTGTAAGACTTATGCTATTCTATTCAGCTGCTATCACTCAACTATTTTGTTTGTGTGTGTCTATTTATCTATTATTTGAAAATAATAATAATAATAATAATAATAATAATAATAATAATAAGTGTGGTCATTATCTATTTGGCTTGGTTAAAATATGTATATATATATATATATATATTTAGGCTCTTATTTATTCTCTTACTTTTATCATTATTTATCTTATATATATAATAGTTAGTGATTAATTTTTTGTATAATATAAAGTTATTAATTATTAAAATAAAATGTAAAAAACTCAGTTTATAGTGATTTAAAAATATGAAATATATTGGATCATACTTAAAAATTTATAAAAATTGATCAATATTTATTTTTAATCCAATAAATATGATCATGGAAAAAAAATATGCGTTTTGGTAAGTTTTTTTCAAATTGTGCGAAAAATAAAAAAATTTAGGGTATGTTTGGTTTGTGTTTGAGAGATGTGTTTTAGAGATAAAAAGTACGAAAACGTGTTTGGTTTGGTTTTTTTTAAAAGATGTTTTGGAAAATTATTTTGAGATAGAGTTTTGGAAAAAGTGATTGATTTGATATGTGTGAGAGAGAGATTTGTTTGGAAAACTTGTTTGGTTTACAAGTTTTGGGAAATTTTTTTGGGAAAATCTGTTTGGTTTGCTTATTTTTGAAAACTTATTTGTAGAGAAAATTTTCCAAATTTTTTTCAGAAAATCAAACCAAACGAGCCCTTACGGTTCCGGTTACCGCAACCGTTACACTACGGCCTTTACACCCCGCAACCGCAACCGCAACCGCAACCGCAACCGCAACCGCAATCGCGCCACCGCCACCGTTACGGCGACCGCAACCGCTTTTCAGAACCTTGCCCATGACTGTCAATTCTGACTTTCCTGATCCTAATGTAGTCAAATCTTGTCTTGAGTTTTTCCCCCCCATTCATTTTCAAAATTATGTGAGTGTTTTTTCCTTCCTTTTTTTTTTAATCATTTGTTTTCCTGGTGGCCATCATTGCAACCTATGACATGAGGGCATTTCCACTTTAGTTAGCCATTTAGTTTCCTAATTGGTGCAACTATGGGCTCTACAATCATTAATTTAGTTACATGGGAAGGGTCTTCAATTTCTTATAGAATTTAGAGAATAGGATGCCCATGACTAGTGAGAGAAATTCCTCCATCCTATTTAATGTTGTATGTTTTGATAATGGTTTTGCAGAATGAAGCAGTGTTGAAAGCATGTGCTGAACCAGCTCCAAAACCTTCAGTCGCTGGTGCTGCTGGAATTGTGGAGGAAGATAGCAACAGTACCCAATCTCAATGAACAAATGGATTAAGAGCGTAAATTAGCCTGAGTTCTACAGATTAAAGTTTTATGCGAGCAGACTTTTTTTGTTTTTCAATTTTTTCTCTGGGACATGATTGTCAAATTTAGGCAGTGTATTAGTTTATATCATAAAAGCCTAGAGGCAATGGTTGGTTTGGCAACATTTTTTTCACCACAATATGGTGTATAAACTTTTTGCTCTTGGAAAGGAATTTGTTTTGTCCTTGTATCATGAAAAATAGTTTTTCAATTTATGTTGTTGGTTTTGGTAGAACTTCGATTTGAATTTTGGTCTACCTTGCAAGTTGTTGCATGTGCATACACAGATGATCGAGAAGCAATCCAACACCAGTTGCAACTGATTGAAGATATGTTTGGGATAACATGTAAGTACTCCTTGTATTGAACTTTCTTTCTCTTTTTTTGACAATTAAAAAAAGTAAAAAATCTCATACAAGTCCAGGGAAGATAGGACTTGATGATTTCTCACACATGAAGAGAGAGAGAGAGAGAGAGAGAGAGAGAGAGAGAGAGTAATGTAGGCACTACTAGTTTCTTCCTGATCTGATCCTTTGGAAGAGACCTGATCTCACTTGAACGTGATTGATGAGGGAGAGGATGGTTGAGGAGGACCTGATTCACTGCCGTCTTCCATTTTGACATCCATAATACTAGGCCCAATGTTCCCACCATTCCTAGTTTTGTTGCCATGAGAGGAAAGGATCGAAAGGTCGGTTCTGGCCCCATTGTTTTCCCATTTCCTTTTCTTATGACATATCTGACACACAACCCAGTCTTCCATTTCTGTCATGACTTCCATTTCTATCAAATGATTCCATTGCATTTGTAGACATTCCCTTTTATTTTGCTGAAGAAATAACAAACTTCTTGCAGGCTAATTATTTCCCCATTTTGTTCAAAGGATTTATCGATTTGATGTGTTTTGATTTGGATTTATAAAGGAATTTGTGGAGTGGAGGAATTCTATTTCATTCTTTGTTTTGTTCCATTTTCTTTTCTTTTCTCTAATTCAAGTTTCAAACAGAGTCTTAGCCATTTGAAATCACATCACACGGACAAATAGAGGAAAAATATATGGTATTGAAAAAAACTAGAGAATCCAAATAATTATTTGATAATGAAATGTACAATCTAAATTTAAATTTATTGTGAGTTGATCAACTGCAAAGTTCATATTCTGGGCTACGTTTTGAATTAACGTCTTTAGATCCGTTGAATTGCTTATATTTATTAGAACCTCTATGGCTTAAAATGTGGCTTACAACTCCATGACTAGCATATTCAGGTTGGTTTCTTGAACTAGCCATTGAGCTGATTTGAACAAGTAATATTGGTTAGTTACACTTTTCAACTCCTTAATTATCACTGAATTATCATCTTATCCCTTATACATTAAAATCATACATTTTGATCTTTCAATTATATCAAAATTGTTTCATTACTTGTATAAAAAAAAATGTGAATTATCCTTGCTTTTTTAAATATGATGGACGTAGTATGATATATGCACAAGTTCATCATCTTGATTTGAAAGGAATTTGCCACCAAAAAATAGCCAATTAATTCTGACATCAGCAGCCAACATTTTTTATGTTTGAAACAAGTACATGTCCATGAACCCAAGTTACATTGCCAGTGCAAAGATGGAGCGGAGGAAAAAGAAAGCAAAGAGACAAAACAAAAACAAAAAAACTGAAGAAAAAGCTTCCATCAACTGCGCAATCATTTCTATGGTTACCACAGATGAAGCACCAGGAGAAAGAAGTATATAACCTTTGCATCGATGTCAAGAGATGAGGAAAGACCGGCTTATGTACAACAAGGCAGACATCTATCTATGACTACACCACGCCCATGCCTGCTCAATGTTTCATGACAACGAAGATGAATCGGTAACTGTGTGTAAAATGGAAGTGTATATGGAATGGCCAGGCAGACCATGTTATAGCTGTATCAACTCTGGTATAAGCTTCAGCAAAAATGACAACTCCTTTTCAGAGAATTGAGGCTTTGCTTTGACCTGAACCTGTTCTTCCCCTTCCAATTGTATCTCTTCTTCCCCCTCCTCCCTCAATGGCTTGATCATATCAGAAACTGACTCTGTGATTTCTTGAACCAAATCAACAATCACTCCCTCAACCCCCATTAAATGTTGCAAGTAAACCGCTTCAGGCACATTGCTGAAACATCAATTTCATATATATTTAGTAAATAAATACATGAAAAACCCAAAGCTAAGTCATCCTAGCCAAGAATGTCAGAAACATTATCAAAGTGATACAATTGGAAATTCAAGAACTTACTTTAATTTGCCATAGGTTAGGAGTGATAACTTAGCCTCAATGATCTTTGTTACCGCCCCTGGATTTCTAAATATTCCCTTGACCTCCGATACAATACCTTGCAAACCACCCTCTAAGCAGAGCTTCATGGCCTCCTCCAAAGAGTTCCTTCTCACATCACAAAAAATCTCAGTTCCTCCATTTGTGAGGAAGAAGACCTGGTAAATTTCAATCAACAATAACCATAATCAGAAGTTAGAAACATATTTCAAAACACTTCTGAATTGGGTTTTAGAGAGCTCTCAATTTTGGACAGTACACTTACAGGATAGGTGCTCTGCAGTTTCCTGACAATCAGGGCTGCATCAGGCTGGAAGGTTGAGAAAATGATGGGTCTGTCTTTTGCGTGTTCAAACACTACCTGAATTACAAAATTTCAGACACGAAACAGCCAAAACTAAGCTAGCTAAAATTGAACATAACAGAGACTCTTCTCTTCTGTTACCTTCAATATGGCACGAAGAACATGGATGAGATGTTCTTGCTGATAGACAATGTGATCATCGAACTTCAATTCGATGTTGAATCCCAAAGATGGGTTAACCAATTGAAACGATTCTTCAAGCGTACAGAGGGAGTCATCTTTCTCAACGCTCCAGCTTAAAATATTACCCTCTTTTGTTTTCCTAAAAAGAGACTTGCCCACATTGCCAGGCTCTCTTTGAGGACCATAGCGAAGGAACTCAGATAGACTCAGTTCTGTCACTCTCTTCTCATATACAGTCCCCTGAAAGATAAATTCAATTTCAATTCCAATTCAGATCAATTGCCAAAAATAAATAATTAACCTTAAGAATTTCCAGAGATTGAAATAAAAGAGAGAAAGAGAGCTTACATTTTCTTCAGAGAGGATCGAGTTGTCGTGGAAAATGACAGGGCAGTCATCTTTTGTCACCTACAAAAATCACATTCCAGTTTACTTCCCTGTCTAAGGTCTCCTCTCAACTCCATATATCCACTATAATTGTTTTATTTTATTTTTTAAATTTCATGCAAATATATAAATAGATTGGACCCATAAGAGAGCAAATCACCCAAAAAAAAAAAAAAAAAAATCAGTATCTAACCAAAAAAAAAATCAGCTTAAAATTTGCAGAAATAAAAATTTAAAGGAAAGAAACATAAAATGTAATTGATTATGATGCAAAAATCCGATTGAGTACGAAATTGAGAATCACTTGTCTTAATTTTTCATTTTATTTTATTAAATTGAAAATATTTTTTTTTTAAAATTGTAAATTGATCGATTTGCTTATGTCCTTTTTCTACAAATTTAAAAATTTGTGCACAAAAAGACAAATAATAGAGAGCTTAAAATGAATTGTGATTATAAATACAAGTACCGAAAGATTGAATGTAGAATTCCAGATGTAACGTATGCGGCGAGACTACAACGCACGCACTACGTTTAAAACTCAGACGAAATTGGCATTGGAGAAAACAAACAACAGGACAAATAAAATACGACGGAAGAACAAGAAGACAGAAAGAGAGAGAGAGAGAGAGAGAATAAAAACCTGAACGTCAAACTCGATGAAATCGATGGGGAACTGAGCGGCAGAATTGAAAGAAAGAAGGGAGTTCTCTTTAATGGCTTTCATTCTCCGATCTGACGCCTGCAATATATTCATTCCACTCCCTCTATGCCCTACCACCATGAATTTTGGAATTTTAAATCCAATTCTACCTACATCAACCCCTGCAAACCAAACACCATTATCAAAAAAATCAATCAATCAATCAATCATTCAATCAATAATTCAATGAGAGTGTGTGTGTGTGTGTCGAATCGTCGAATGGGATCTCGTTAGATTACCTTTGGAGCAACGGGTAGAATAGAGGGTGAAGGAGGCGTTTTCGGGGACTTGGTCGAGATTAGGGACGTCGGAGACATGAACGGCCTTGAGAGCCATTGAGAGAGAGAGAGAGAGAGAAAGAGAGATACTAATTGGATTGGAACTACGGTGCAGGTATTTGTTGGAGAAGATGGTGATTATTGGGGAAGAGAGGTAGGTATATATATATATATATAAAGGAAGTTGTGTAGGGGTGTTTCCATGGTGGTGACAACAATGGTTTAAGAACGAAACGGAACGCCATCTCCGCGTCGCATATTCCTTTCCTTCCTACTATACTCGGGTTTTATGCTTTTCGGATATTCCTTTCTCTTTCTTTTTAATGTTTCCCTCCACCAAATTTAGGATTGGTTTGTGATATTTAAAAAAAAAGTGTATTTTTTAATTTATTGATTTATATGAGTTGAGTTTAATGTGATTAGAAGTAATGTAATTTAAATAAGATAATGTGACTTAAATAATATAATAATTTTTTTACTTTTTATATTATTTAATATATCTCAAACCAAGCCTTAACGCCCTTTGTCTTGTCAATGTCAACCCAAGCTGGTTCGTGGTTCCCACTAGTTGGTGAGTGTCTTCTCACAAAATTAGGAATTCAATTAATTTCTCATGATTTTTTTATTGTTATTTTTGGAGTGGATGGCATGCCTTCAATTGAATAGGAAAGAAGGTTAATTGAAGTGCATGTAAGTTAAAATTAAACATTTCTAACTGCCAAATAAAAAATTAAAAAAAAAGAAGAAGTCATTAACATTACCAATTATGTATATTAAACTGTTAACACAGTCAATCCTAGTTTAACGGAGATTTATTTATTTTATTAACATATATTATTAATTGCTATTTTAAAGATTACAATGAATTGTCAACTATTATCATTGATTGATGGGTTGTAACTTCCCTAATTTATTTATTTTAATCCAAGTAGCAACAGAGAAGAATAACTAAAAGATGATACCTAATCTCAAACATTGGTTTAGACCATTTCAAAATAATATTATTTTTACTATTTAACTATTAAAAATAACTTTTAAAATTTTAAATTAAAAAATAGGACTTTTAAATTTATTCATGTGGATTACTCTACATCAATTATTCATATTTTAAGAATCTTTACATTTCTTCAAAAAATTTATAACATCCAATAATATCATAATAAATATTATTTTTATCGAGGTATTTTGAATTTTTTAATATGTAAGACAACCGAATCATCTTAATATTGTCGAAATGGAACCACAATAATTAAGTTAACATTATTAAGCAATATATAATTTCTTTCTTTTGTTTATGTTTTAATAAATACTTTCTTTTGTTTACGTTTTAATAAAAAAAAAAAAATTGGGTATAGATAGCATAAAGAAGAATATAATGGGGATAAGTTTGATTAATGTACAGGGTGGGAGAGAGTAGAGAGAGATGGTGATGATGATGTGTAGCCACGACTTGTCCAGGCTGTGCGTGATTGAGGATAGATGCACTTGACTCACTCACACATCACCTATACATAAACAAATAACATGGGATAACCATATGGGTTTTGGTTTAAAAAAAAACATATGGGTAAAAAAAATTTGGACTTTGCTTCCCAAAAAAATAAATAAATAAATAATAATAATAATAATAATAATAATAATAATAATAATAATAATGTGGTTATGTTTGGATTCCAGCTATCAAGCTGCATTATTCTTTCTTTTTTCTTTTTTTTTTTTTAAATATAAAAAAGTAACAGTCGCATCGGATTTATTATGTTATATTTTTTAATCTTTTATTATTAATATTATTATTCATTTTCTAAGATCATCATACAATCCAATGCTATTTTAGGATTACATTTGGGAGAGAATGGTGGGTTCAATCAATCTCTAGCGTTGATCTAACTGATGTTCTTCCCTTCCCTTCCGTGCTATGCTTTTTCAGCATACATGTGCTTCTCCATTCATATGCATTACCTGAGTATTAATTACTCAAATTAGAGCCCACTCAAAGTATGTTGAGATTCTTTACATCATGATTCTTATAAACAAAGTTTGTGTCGATTTTTATTTTATTTATCTATTTATTTTTTTGTGGACTAACCTTTATTACAATGACAGTGTTAGAACAATCTTCTCTGTAAAATAAATAACTTAAAATAAATTAAACAAAAATAAATAAATTACTTACGAAATTTATTTTACCGAACCGAACCGAATAAATATTTAAAAGATCAAGTCAAGTGTGTAACACTCTGTCCTTAAGACAGATTCGCCCTGCTATGGTTCTTATGGATAAAATGCGTCTATCTCTCAGGATACAATGATCTTCACAAATTGTAGTAGCACTCCAACCGACTTGTACGGCAAACAAAACTTGTGCTCTATACTCTCTTAATATTTTCCTAAAAAATAATATCAAGAATAATGCAACCAAAGAGCAAAACCGGGAAGGAAAGAATATTTCAGAATATTTTTCAGGATGTTTTCGGATGTAAAAACTATTGGAATGAGTTCTACTATTTATCGGACCATTGGTGATGATTGGGAAGATCCGAACATATTCAATTTCAAACTAAACAGGTATAAACAGTTTTCAGATCTGTTGGTAACTGCTGGACAAATTTGAATATGTCTGGGCAGTTTTATAACTGTAAAACTAGTTTGAACCTGTTCAGAGTTCAACAGATTGAAAAACTGTTCGGACTGATTAATCTGTTGTGGAATTCGGATTTGAAAAGAGGCACAAATTTTGGACAAAAATTTTTCAATTCAAATTCAAATTACATTAGCGCAAAATTTAAATTAATTTTTCCTGCAAAAATTTTGGAAAAAATTCAAATAAATTTTGTCAAAAAAATTAATATAAGAATCGACCCGACCCACACTCGCGCTCGGCACGGCTCGACCCGGCCGGTAGCAGTGCGCGCGTGTGCTGTGGTTTGGGCTAAAGTTCACTTTGTCCATAACACCTCCCTTCTACAAACTTGGGATGCCCTTTGAAGCCCAACCCAAATGTTGCCACCTAGAACTTATATACATACATAAGTTCTCTTAAATTTCCATTGTGGGACAAGCCTTACAAAGAAACCCACATTTAATTCTTTAATTGTCCGTTCCACGAACCAGAAAACGATGTCAACTTCCCATTCACTCATAAATGGTTTAGACGAACCGTCTTCACCGTGTGATTTACCATGCGGCAAGGAACACGTCACATCTCTTACCCAAAAAACGTGTGGGACCCACTCAATTTTGAGCTCAAAGTTGGCCCAAAATAAGTCTATAAAAACCAAATTTTCAATAATCCCCCACATGAATAGAATTTGATGGAGAGAAAATATAACAACATGATCGTAGACCGCCCGAACTCCGCTCTGCGCGCATGGCGCGAATTGTAGTTCTAGCTACTATAGCTCGAACTCCTGTCACGGTTCTGAATCTAATCTCATAAAGTGCAATGTAAGACTAATAAATCACCAAAGAGTCCAAATCCGACAAATCGTTTTGAAAAATCGATTTTAATAAAAAAGCACCAAACATGGACTGCTTTGCCAGATTTCAAAGTCGCCACCTAAATATTTTATTTTAGAAAATTTAGGAAACCCTGACTCGTGCCTAAGGCCACGTGTCCGTCATCACCAAAGTTGCTTCGGCTCGGGAACTTGGGTACGAGAAGGGAAGGTCTTGAAATGAGCACCCTCATTCGCGCCTCTACTAAGCATGATATGTTGTTTTGAAAACATATGTGTTCTTATTCTGGTTATTAATCTAACTTACTATATGATGCGCATAGCTTACAAGTATAAACTTAATCGCAAGAATTGGAACAAAACATCTCATGTTTGTTTTTCGAAAATGGTTTGAAAGTGCTACTCGCAAGTAGGTTAAAATGCAGATTTGCCACCCTCAAGTGGGCTTGAAACATGATTTTTTCACTTTGCAAAGTGGGCCTAAAACGCACATTTGATGAATTGTCCTAATTCAAGCAATAACGCCTTCATACACAAGCATTCAGACAGTTATAGCAATTAAGCAAATAGCCTCATGGCAAGCATGCTATCACGGCAACACTCACACGCATGCAAGGATGCTAAAGCATAAACACTTACAGTGTACTCCGAGCCAAAACAGAAGCTAGTTAGAAATCATGCATGATTCTAGCTATGTTAAGATGCCTAATGCAACACATGCAAAAATGCAACTAAATAGGCTCGGCAATCTAAAATGGCATATGAATGCAACACTTGATAACATGCTTTGAAACACGTATTCAAGAAAGTGTATTGAAATACAATGTAGTTCGAATGATGCGCCGAGTCCGGTGCACGCAAAACGAATGAATGATGCACGCATGCAAAGCATAAGTATGCTAATTGAAATGTGCCCTAATCTAACCACTGAAAGAGGATAAATAAAAGAGAGAAAGACATGGGATTGGAAGACATTCACACACACACGCACGCACACTTATTACAGCATTTTCCCTCTCGACGGAGGGTCCGAATAATAAGCTAACTAGTTACGCTAATTAAACTAATTATTACAAATCAAAACTAATTAACTATTCTTAGTTAACTAATTAGTTATTACAACACAAATTGATTAGTTAAGCACGCTAACTAATTAAGAACCGACAAACTAGCTAACTAAGTAAAGCAGCTAAGTGAAGCAGTTGAAAGAGGTCCTCGGGGTGAGGGGTGCATGCATGCTCGATCGCCTCGCTCGGAAATCCATTACTATGTCTAGAATTGTCTCGGTTTGCATTTGATTTGATCTCAAAACATTGCACAAACTTCCAAATTGCTTCTGCTCCAACACAGGGACCTCTTAGTGGGCTGCTGACCAGAAAAGGGGGCTGTAGACCACCAGTAGGCCAGAAAAACTGGTTGTAGACCAGAAAAACTGGTCGGTCGACCACCTTTACTGGTCTGCCAACCAGAAAATCTGCCAAACTCCAGTTTTGCTGCAACAGAGAACAACAAGGGGCATAGCAGTGTATTTGCAAGATATGTGTGCACAACCACCCTCCCCATCATTTCTCAAGCTCAATGGAGTGCGGTACTCGACTCTCGGGCCACCAACCGAACATCACAATGCACGGTGGCCGAGAAGCCAAGTTTGCACAAGTCAATGTCAATAAATGCACAAATAACACATAAGAGCCTCCTCATCTATCATGCATGATCAAGAGGGTTGACGACCGAGAAATGAGGCACGTTTCATCACTTCCAGTATGAAACGTCCCTCGTTTCTCGTGTTCGAATTAACATCCGATCCAAACACAATGTAATGCA